AACTCTCACACATATGTATACACAACCAAGACAGAAAAACAATCCAGTAACCATTGAAAAATAAATTGCAATTCGCTAATGGCAATAAAAAAGAGTCATTTTCTCCTCCCTGATATATTGGGATTTCATTAGACCACTTTCCCAAACTGTAATCGATGTCGACGTTCCTCCTGAAATTACGGCTAACCATCAAACTTCAACATTGGTACCAACCGACCAGAACAACCTAATCTTGTTTACAGTACAACCTTGCACGCCTCGTTTGCTCTAAAGCTGAAGGTTGATAGCGACTGGCTCAATTTTATGCAAGGGGGGAATTGCATTTTAGATGTACAATAGGCCTTGAAATACGCTCGTACATGTAATAGTGTGATGGACAGAATATCATTCAATGCTGATACCATTTACAGACTCACGTCCATCCTTGTGCATTTCTAGGATACTGGCACTGTGTACATATCTAGGATACAAGTATCCCCTTGGTCGCTAAAGTAAAAGTAAAGGCCAAGTACTATCTAAGCCTCACCATATATTTTGAATGCATAGACAGCCTTGATGTCCTGTGGTGCTTGTTCACTGAACACAGAGAACATGTCCAAGAAGTCATCAAACGTCATGTTTCCTGACCCGTCTTCTGAGAAAACTTCACAGATCCGTCTCCTAAACGGATTTTCCTGCAAGACACAATGCAAAACATCATCAGTTTCATAGGTCATATTCTTTATCTTTACATCTTTCAGTCCTGTCCATTGATATGCTAGTATCTTGAGGATTTTATTACCATCATTTTCACACCGTACTGTTAGATTACCTTCTTCAAAAGAAAACGTATAATCTATGCAATGTGTACATGCATTAAACAACTGAGCAGAAGATTTACTAATCTATTTACCACATCTAAGAAGACACGGTCTAATTCCAGTGTAAATGGGATGCAGTCATAATTGCCTTCTATTCCAATTCTGTATTCAGTATCAGTATACTCAGCAATTGACCACAAAGACACATGGAGGATGATTTCAACCAGCCAGCCAAGTATTCCCTTTAAATGCAGAATTTTGTAGGACTTAGATGCTATGATCAGTATCTGCTGTCTTAGGATTATTTCCTACTTTGTTGTTGTTAAGAAATATACTTGTATCTTTGTTGTGAAATTAGCACAGACATAGATGTGCTGTATAGCCTAGGTCACTGATTTTTATCCTTACATGCAGTCAGCAGCTAGTGATTTTACTACTGAGGATCCTACATCAATTCTGGCATGTTGGCAATACAGTTGTCTCTGACACGTGCCCAATGCTTAGTAAGCTGGACAATTCAATAATCTCTGTCCTTACCGGTTCATGAACATTCTTCATGGCTAAATTACTTGGATGTTCAATTAGTTTTCAGTGAAAGCCAATTACTATTAAATTTTATGTTGCTATATTGAAAAAAGGAAAACAAGTCGAACTACAATTCAATATTTCACTTGTACCTTTGGCTGACCCTCTCTACCTTGATCCCAACACAACAGAGAGCCATAATAGCATAGCTTATGGCTCATAAATTGGTGTCTGGCAAAACCTTCCTTCTTAAACAGCTATTGACCACAAGGTCGACCCCGTCATGCTGGTTGACCTTGCTTTATTGGCAGTTCCCCTCAACATAGATCATGGTCTCCACCTCCCCAATCAATGGTGGGTACTGCTCAAACATGTGTACTGTTTTAATTATTAACATGAAAGAAATACTCCAACAAGGCAAGGCCATGCATTCTCCTCTTGGTTAAAATGTAGAAAACACTAAACTTGTCAGTTTCAGTGCACAGCCACATTATTTTAGGATATTCCAGTTGCAGTGAGTCAAATTACATACAGTCACCTTCAACTAACCACCTTTCTTGCATGTTGGATTTGAAAAAAAAATCTTGCGACATCTGGATTTCCCATCATCAGCATTTTGAACATGAAAGGCAGTGAAAATGCAGAAAATCTTGCATCCAGTTGCAAATTTTGGAGTAAGAATATAGGAGTCAATACAAGTACTTCACAATCTGCTATCAGTGCCTGGCTTATCAAGTAATATTGATGAGTAAAATATTTTGTTTTAAATGGTAACAAGACGTAACCATATTAGTGCTAACAGACACGGGCATTTTTGGTGACAAAGGGAGATACAGACAAAGCATTATTACTGGCTCTGTGCATACAGGAGGGGGGTTTGGGTCACCTCCATAACACATTCATTGCTGGATAGATTGCCCAGATTACATGCTGGATGAACACAAATGGCAGCCAATGGCTCACTAGCAGACGGGTCTCCTGTGTAACAGCAGGAGAAATCAGCCAGCCATGATCCACTGTAGTACCAGAAAATCTCTTCAGACAGGAGGCGGGCATTGAGACACAATTTTCTACAAACATTTCCTTACAAAAACTACAGCTGCAGATGCCTGAGTAATCAATTGAAATTCAAGAACCCTTTATTTTGTGCACAATTGAAGGTGATGAGGGTGAATACTAAATACCTTCTGCTTATACTATAGGATTTTAATAAATCAACCATAATTGGAGATGTGAAATTATCCAACCCTATACATGGAATATTGACAATTGGAAGAGCAGCGGAAGAACGATTAAAAAAAGCAAACAAAATGAATTTATTGACCCCGAAAGTAGGACAGGGATACCACATTTACTGGTCATACCATTGTTTTTCTGGGTACAGCTCTTGATGAAATGCATCAATCAATACTCCAGACATTACAACACTATCAAAACCGTCGGTCCCTTGATATGAGGAAAATATGGATAAAGAAAAGACAGAAGGAGAAAATGCACAATAGATAAGAAGATCAGTATCATGCATCTTTGATTATTTTATGCATTTCATGTAACTATATTATATGCCAGATTCTGATTTGATGGCAAATGCTCTGAAATGTTTCACAAAAGAGGAAACATCCACTTATACAAACAGGCTATTTCATTAGCTTGTTCAGTTTCGATAGCCTACCAAGGCCAGCAGCATGTCTGTTTGCCCTGAATATTTCTGGATGGAATGACAAATGCTTGTATCGGAATTCAATTTGTGCCAAACCTCATGTGGGGGTCTCGGCAATAGCCAAACAAATTGGGGCGGACATACAAGGATAAATGCAAGGTCTCATTTGCATCTAAAAGTAACAAGCTGATTGGACACATCATTTAGCAGCATATGCCTGCCTGTTATTCACCTGAGTGAACTTCTCAGGCCACAGGCAGGTGTGACACTATAAGTATATATGTTACAGCCTAGATTTTCCTCAAGGGTTTTCCCTAGTCAGCAAGATATGTATTCAAGATTAAGATCTAGCCTAGGTTTTGGGTCCCTGCAGCTGGAGTAGCCTTGAAAAGAACATGACATTTCTAGAAATACAGACTCTAAAATGAAAAGGCATCAGATCTGTTTGTACAGCTGTGAGATGCAAAGAAATTTACCCATTTGTCCATCAGAACAACACTTTCCTCTCTCCAATATGCAGGATTTTATCCAGTTCAAGCAATGCTCTCTGACCCTCTGCGACCCTATGCCAATTAGCAGGTTCATTATTGGTAACTGAGATTCGATTGTACGAAGGGTGTCTGGGGGCTGTCTTGCCTTAGAATGGCTGCTTATTATGGTGCACCTACTGGGTCCAAATTTTTTCTCTTTCTCAGAGGAGATCTAAAGGAAACAGAAAAATAAGGACCCAGTTTGGGTCTTCTCTTTTATGTTCCTCAAGGATACAAATATTCTTACATAAACCTGTCTTCATAAGTGAACTACCAGAACCACAGAAATTCAAACAAATATGTAACTTCCCGCAGCTCATCTGTTTATGACATCTTACTTGTTCATCACAAGGATTTCACTTATCCAAGATAAGGAATGGAAGGCCTATGAACCAACAACCGTGAACAGCGAACGGAAGTGACCTAATTCACAGAACTTCTATTCATCAACATCCTCTTCCAAGAAGGGCTGAGGAAGGTTTGAGTCAGCATCTTTGAACAGCAAAAGGAAGTGACCTACTTCTTGGAATATTCCATACATCATTCTGTATGCCAGAAATTACCTCTCATGTTCAATCTTCAGAATCTGGCAATAGAACTAGGACTTTTCTATTCCACTGTGCATTACACATTGGGTAGAGACAACAGAAAAAAACAATATTTCTGTTTACTGTTTAGCCAGGTGGACATCTCAGGGGGTGTTCTAGCCAGCCTGAAAATTATTTTCTGTCATCCAAGTTTTGTTGACCTAACATCATGTCTAGCACTGAAGGCTGTGGAAAATATTGAAATGTTGACCCTCTATTTGCTGCATTTTGAAGGGCAAATTTTGCTGGTAGCTTAAGCTTAGTTTAATAGTCTCTTTCCGTATCTTAACATGCTGATTTTTGTCCAGATTGGACAAGAACAGTCTGCATCTCTTCATGGTGACCTGTTTCTTGGGTACCCTGATTTCATAAGGGAGGATAGTCAAGTCAAGTCAAGTCAATCTTTATTGCAAAAGTTATTGCTAGCAAGCTACAGGGAGGCACTTTGTTCTGTTCTCACTGTGGGAAAAGCTTTGCAAAAGTGGAAAGATGTTCTACAAAATACATAATCCTTTTCAGCACCAAGGACAGACCACTATACTTTTACATATATATGTAGTCTAATACGATTTTATTAGGATGTACCTAGCACAGAAATGTTATACGCACATTTCTCATGCACAAGTTGTGAAGTTATACACAAGTTTTCTTGATCACTACGTACTTAGACAAGACTGTCAAGACATACCTTTAACTCTGGCATTTTCTCTATGTACTCAAAGGGCACCTTGATCCGGGATGCCTCACCCCGAGTGTAGCTCTTGGGAATGTGGTCAGAGTCCAGATCCCGATACCGCCTGAATATCCTGTAAGAACATAGAGCAGAAATGTATGGACTGCATATCATGCATGTATAACATTGTCTTGTGAAAGTGTAAGTGCTTTTTACAAACATTATTTTCATGAATATTTAGTCTGCCATTAGGATACAAAAGTCATTCCTGATCATTCCATCATACCAATACCCAGGCTAGCAAGCTACAGGGAGGCACTTAGTGCTGTTCTCACTGTGGGAAAAGCTTTGCAAAGAGGAAACATGTTCTACAAAATACATAATCCTTTTCAGCACCAAGGACAGACCACTATGCTTTTACATATATATGTACTGGCTTCCCTCAGGCCTAGGAAAAAATGTTGTGCTTCCTGTTTCCTGACCGACCCTAGAAAAACCTACCGACCCTAGACTTTTTTTGGGGGGGTGGACCCCAGCAAGGGACATATTAAATAATTTTCGAGCTGATCAACCTTTTCTAGCTCTATGATCTGACACCTGAGTAACAAAACGTTGTACAATTGGTTTTCTAACATTGACATCGAAACTAAAAGTGTCCTCATGCAAGTTTTACTTTGTTAAACTGTATTGTATAAGTTGGACCCCTATGTAGATATCACTCATCATTGGCAGTCCAGTCTCGGAATATCTTGTCGCCACCCTGGGAGTGCATCGTCTACTGTGGCTGTAGAGTCCGATTCGTGAATTACAGTCTGATATCACTGAAGTCTAAAAAAAAAGATCCCTATCTACCAACCCTAATTTTTTCTAGTCTGAAACAGGAAACAACATTTTTTCCTTGGCCTCACAAATGTGTCTGGCCCCTTTAATTTCATCACTCAATTTATAACATGTTCTACATCATCCTTTTCAGCATCAAGGACTGAGCACTATACTTTTACATACATATGTGCTGGCTTCCCTCACAAATGTGTCTGCCAGTTTAATTCCACCCATTCAATTTACAACATCCTCTTCAAAATACATCAACCTTTTCAGCACCAAGGACAGACCTCTATACTTTCACATCATTTCCTTCTGTCACCTTTTCCCCCATCCCTGAGTAGAGTCTTTAACACCAATAGGTGTCAGTCATACATATTTCTACTTGTCATTATGCTGTCTATGGCTCCTGTGCCAAGTCCACTGTAAGGTTCAACCTTTGGTGCATCCAGACTGTCTGATGACCAAGCAATTAGACTTGGCCGTCAGCCCAGACTCCCTCACCTAGGGTAAATACCTGGTCATCACTGTTCAATCATACCCAGCCAGGCTGATGATACCACATTTGCCAACGTGTGACCACTTCTTGGCAACGAACCACAACTTTTATTCCAACTAGAGGACATGATTAGTATTGTCCAGACTGCACAGCCATCGACTCAAGCTACAATGGCTATCACATACCATCAGTGATTAGCTAAGAATGTTGGTTAGACTTACCTACACAACTTGAAATATCAAATGTGTACCTGCCAATGGAGGTCTCAGAAGCTACGTGGCCATACATTATCAGACATCATATGCTGGCATATCCTCATATATAACTAGTGTTTAGACTTGAAACTAAAAGTGGTTGCTAGGACAAACTATAAGTTATAATTTATCTCCTGGCCCAACATTAGGTGGAAGATCAAAGCTACTGTAAATCTTTTTGCTCTGGTTTATTTTATTCTGACCACTCCAACACAACTTTGTCAAACTGTAAAAAGATGTTTCCAATTTATTGCCAGTCTTTACTACAGAATTCCTTCCATCGTGACCATGAAAAACAGTGATATCCTTTTCCCTCCACCATATAAATCTACTGCAAAAGTAGTACAAATTTACAGTAGTAATTAGTTGACCTAGGTCTAAGATGTTAGCAAAATGAAATCTTTCTGTTTTACGAATATAGAAGGAATGCTAAAACATATGCATGACACAGCTACCTGTACATGACTTCAAGTCAAGGTCAAATGATGGAGTATGTATAAAACAATGTATAAACGACATATGGCAAGTTTTGCTCATGCATCATATGTAGAAGGGAAATTCTTTACCACCTAAAATTTTCAAGTTATAAAACCTGTGAAAAGCAAGAAATCAGCTTCTCATACTAAAATTGATAATGTTCTCGCCAATTCCATATGGAGCACATCATGCATGTTGTTCTTGGGTTTGTGTGCTAAAAGACATGTACAGACACATGCATGCATGTATGAGACACGGCTGTATGAAGGGTTTTATCACGATGTCATGGCTTTATGCTATAAATCCTCTTGCTGTAGTCAAATATAAAAATGCTCATGGAATATCCTATTCCTGTCTCTGTATGTGGCCAATATTCCCGTCTCCTGATATTGCAGAGCTCAAAATTAAGCAAACATCGTCACATTTCAGGTTGGCAAATGGAGACATACGTGTTGGCTTCCTTTACAAATGTGTCTGCCCCCTTTAATTTCATCATTCAATTTACAACTGTGTGCTGTTAACATATAGGTATTCCCAGAGGGGTCCATACAATTTGCAAAGTATAGATTTTGTTGCAGAAATTATGAGCAATGGATGACCCATTTATTTGCCTGTTCCGTGCTAGCCCTGTTTATCAGTCTACCCTTTGGAAACCCAGTCAGTATAGTGATTGGCTATGATATGAATCAACTGCTATAAGGATAGCAATAGATTGCAATGCTGAACATACAATTGCCTCCTTGTTAGAATGCAGTGAACACCAAGCTTCCAAGCCTCCCAAAGCCATATTATAAGACTTGTGATGTTGTCCATGTCCACATCATCAGACAATAAATCATTTTTCAGAAGGCATGTTATTGAACTGTTACAGTGGTGATGATGTTGTTATTGAAATATTATCAAAGGATCAAGGATTAACAAAATCCAGGAAATAATGCCTTTTTGAATTACTATTATCTGAATCCTACTTTTGTATTAATTACAGGCCTATGATGTAAAATGAGCACAAAACAAATTAATGAAGACAGATGATGATACCTGAGCATGATAAATGACTAAGGTGTACAAGCTCCATTCATATCTATCAATCAAAATATCATTTCAAGTATACACATAAAACGGTCAGATTATCATTACATACATATTACCATGACAGTAAACAACATGAACATTATTTTCGTTGCAAAGTTTGTACCTGGCACTTCATTTGAAAACAAACAAAGTATCAAATTCAGCCCAGTTGATAACAATGCATGTACAAAATACAGCAAAATTCTTCTTGAAAACAACTATCATTTAAGTGTTAAAATCTGTCTGTATTGATTGATAGCATTTATGATGACTGTCACTTTGTCAACAATGAAATTATGTAAAGGATTTTATGATAATACAGTTAAAACATTGGTCAGTAACCTTTCTCCAAAGCTCTGATTTAAAAATGCTGCCAACACATTCACTTGTGATCACTCCCCAATTCAGCTGATTTTTGCCTTAACACATTTACCTGCAAGGTGCAAAACAATAGTAACCTTTATCTTAGACCCCACATGCACTCTCTGCCAATTCCCTATTTAGGTTCTCACATATTCAATACAGTATATTGGCATTGGCTCAACTGCCATTCTGTATATCCACTGATGAATATTTCCTGACATATTATGTGGAACATTTCTAGGCCAGAAGGAAATAATCAATAGATCATCTTTTGGACATTACCATTTTTAATCTAAAATATTGGCCAACATCATGTTCCCATAAAAAACACATGTTATTATTTGTATATCCCTAAATCAGATGGGCTATATGCTGTAACACAGTTGAATGCTTGCTTTTTCTCACTAATACTTCCAGATTATAGTAAGATACAGAGATCAATATTTGGGATTATCCTTGTTTGAAGGCCATTTGGTGGTTACTAGACATAGCAATCCTTAAGGGCCCCCTCAAGGGTTTATACTTCTACTATATACTAAAAACTTAAGTGAAAACAGCTCAAAAGGAAAGTCTACTTTAAGCTTATTTTGGGCAAAACAGGCATGCTCTATATACATTGGAATTTCATAACTTAATTCAACATATATCTCAATGTTCCCAACATTGTGTGAATAACATCAAAGGTTTGAGTCAGAACTAGATGATAGAGATCATTTTAGTAATGATTAAAACATCATCAGAACTATTTGTACTCCAGGAACTTCACCTGGTAACATATTGTAATTGGGAGCCACGCATGAGAGGTAATAGGCATTTTGCATTAAGTCTTACAATGGTGTCAACAGACATCTGTTTCTCTGAGTCATTCAGTATTGATGGTACTTAGATATGCTTACTTTTACAGTTTTAAAAATGCACTTATGTATAAACCTTAGAATTACAGGACATCATTGACATCTAAGGTTCTAGGCAGAATACGCCTCTACATGCAATTCCTTTTGCTTACAAAGATCTAACAAGCTTGAACTCTATAACTAAAGATCTCTCTTTCTTTCTCCTTCCAATGTGTCAAGGTAGTCTAATTTGAAGATGACAGAAGATATATCCAAAGTAGCTGCTAGTGCTGAAGTCACAGATAATATAAACAAAGTAAGTATACCTGTCAGATAATACACCGATAACATCAATATGACTTATCAATTAAAAAGATGTTGCTTACCTGAGGATCTCTTTTCTGGTAAAAAATGTACAGTCCTGCAAATACATAGGAAAATGTATATCAGTGCTTGTATAGACCACATACAAAAATGAAACAAGCCCTACATGCCTTTATTCTGTTCAATTTCATTTTATGTTTAAATTTTTCAGTTTCCTTTATGTTTCAATTTCTTTATGTTTCTGCTTTGACTGTGTGAAACTGTGTGAATATCATTATCACATGTTTGAACATGGGAAGTTCTGAATGACATGATCATGAGGAAACCATGTTTAACTGCACAGCTCATCATGGATCATTACCAAACTAATCATGGTGAACAGACTTCCAGCAACACAAACGTCAGACACAAACGTCACAACAGCACGTCACAACCTGCCCACAGAATCACACACACAGATTAATCTTGGTGTGGATAAGTCAGTATACTGCATCCAAATAGTATTCTACTTAAAAGGAAAGAATTTCTGTTATTGAAAAATTTTGGATGCTGTTTACTAGTTGCACCTTACACTGAGGAAACATAACCAGTACCTGATTTTGGACTTTCATGATGTCCTGGCAATAATAGCATAGACCACAAGGCATATATCTATACACATAATGCAAACAGGTACTTTATAAGGACAAATAATGCTACCTGTCACAGCTGGTATGGACAGTTTCTCTGGCATATATCCCTGATGACTTCCAGACATCCTCAAGCTCTCAATGGATGAAGTGTTTTTGAACCCAAGTCAATTCTAAACTTGACATATTGATTTTCCTATGTCTATACCAGTCTGCCAATACACTGAAAACTGGTACATGTCTGTTAGTGGTAGAATTTACTATCATCTATAGCAATACCTCACACTCACCACCAATATACAATGTATATTGTTCTACCAACACTATTCAATGGCAGATTCAAAGAAGGGTTGTTGCACTAAACTGAAGATTTGAAATGGTAGAAAATTTTGATACATAGCAACAGTATACTACTAAGCAGTATACTAAATACTGCTTAGTATTTTGCACAAGGTTGAAATATGTTTCTGCTCTTAAGAAGAAATATATCTATCAAACTGGCCTGGGTGTAATACAGTGTACTATGCATGTCCATGGTGCTGAATTAACTGTTGCACCTTAAAATGTATAAGTGGCTGTTTGTATTCTCTCCTACAGCTGTCAAAATGGACTGATACACCAACTGAACTTCATTGTGTTATTATGATAACTTGACCTAGTTTGCTAGGCTACACAAGAACTGCCCTTCTTTCTATTGTATTTCTATAAGAGGTTCGTTGCAATGATGATGTTTTGTGGCATGATAGCCAGTTGTTCTAAAGTGAGACACCTTGTTTAGTGTATATCTGAGGTGAGGGGGTGACCTACATACAGGGTAAAATGAACCCATGTTCAATCAGCCCTGAGAGTAAAATGACCGGCCTGTTTCTGACCTAGTTGTTGTGCCTCTAAATTACAGTATGAGTCTCAAGGGGCTGCTTGCCTCATCCAGGGGTGCAACCGAAATTGGGAGCAGTGATACAATTTGAAATTCAAATGACTCCGCCTTGTTTTGGTCCCTGTAATTTTGTTTTCATGAAGGTCCGTGTTCCTCTTGGTCCTACCGTTTCTCATGAAGTTAATTTTGATTAACCCCATCAGTTACAGATTGTGTTGTTTCGACGGCTCAACGGCGTATCAAAATGTTCTAGATTTAGTCATGGGCGTTCAAAAAAGCATCGATTCTTTAATCTGATGAAGATTGGAAATGTTTTAGGTCAGAAAGCGCGGCCCGCCTGAACGGACCGCCCACCCCCCTGGCCGCTCTACCAGGTGAGCAACTGTAACTGCATTTACTGATGAACCGAACGGGGCGGTTTCGATACGGTGCAGTTGTACAACACTGGGATATCTCTATTAAAGCTGCAAAATGTGTACCTCAAGGCATGTTGTCTACCTTTACAGTATGTTAGTACACAGGAATGGAACAGTTACGACAACAGTGTTCGCCTGTCTACACGGATGGGTTGTTTGTGAGCGACAAAACCAACCTGGTATTGCTCCAACTGCGATTCAGTGAAGGCTGCCTGCTTATTTCCCATCTCCCTTTAGGATGACAGCGTCTTCATAGCGACCCAGAAAACTCTCTCGTCTCCTCCTGACCACCATCAAATTTACAATAAACGTCCCTTGCCCGCCGGCAACAGGTCATTTATGGGTGAATAGAACGAAATTCGCAGTCCGATTTTTTCGGAGATTTGTGGCTACCACAACATGGCCCGTGCACGCATGTCTGCTACGTGTGACGTCAATACACAGTTTACGACCTTCCCGCAGAAGATCGATTTTTATCGTTTATCGACCGCTGCGTATTTTGGGGCTGTTATTTACGCCCATCTAAACATCATTTTTAAACAAAAATGCACAATATTTTCGTAGTGTCGTGAAGGCGCGGCGAGTCGAGGGAATTGATGTCGTAATATCACTGTTACCGCAAAATGTAGCTGTCCGGCGCAAACTCAGTACATTCCAGCACCCCGGAAGTAAGCTGTTCGATGTGAGTGGCGGGATTTGCCTGGATTTGAACGTGATTTGATCTTATCTACAGTGTAAACATGCAATACACCGGAGATCGGAGATATGTCTGTACTACCATGAACGTTTTAGGCTTGACAAGATGAACTAGAATTCAGAGGAAATGTCTGAAGATACGGAAAAGGGCGCAGGTGAGTTACGTTCACTGTAACAGGTGTAACAGAACTGCCGTATCGTTTACATGTTGCCTAACAACAGACAAACCGCCCTACCAAATTCAAGCTTAGGAAGACATTCTGAGGATGTGTGCTTTTGTACTTAAATCTTGCTATCAGACGTTTGCCAACCAAAGCTTATTATTAAATAACGATTTATATTAAAGATATGTATTATAAATTGCTTGCATGACGTCTCGTCTCGGATATGCAAACAGAAAACTGTTCCTAAATAGGAACGTTATGTAGATCAAAAAGAAACAATCAATGACCTCAAATGATGCCAAATAGTTCAAACAAGTCTGATTGAAGATTCTGACTTTCAACTCTTAATATTCAAATGTTTATTCTTTAGCACTAAACAGTTGTAAATCAATATTACGCATACAATTTTCATAGGTGCATCATGTAGTTACACCTTAACCCAATTTAGCTGGTCAGGCAAAGTGAACCCTGATAGCCTAGTTTATATTTTGTATTTTGCATGAAATGACAAATAGTCCACTTTTTTTTTTTGAAGTACAATCATTTGAAATTTATGTTTGAGACTGTATTGATACCTTGATACCTTGAGCACTGCCTGTAGTATACCCGTGTTGACCCTAGCTTCTGTACTTCATGTTACCACTGAAATGTTTGCTGTTTTTCAGGAGAGCCCAAACCCCTTGCCCACATCACCCGCCAGGCACTAAAGACCCACAGCGGGGAGTTTGAGTTGGACAGTATCACTTACATCAACTTTCGTGATAGAGGTGAGTGACTATTCATAGCTATTAGCCTAAGATTTTCCATGTTCAGTATCAGTCTGAGCAAGGAATGACAATACCCTCTCAGCTTATCATTCATATCATATAGAATTGTTGTGAAATAATATAATCATTTTAAGTTTTCAGCACTTAATTCTTATCCAGGCTTTGTTTAAAACATTTGTGACAAGGCATCATGATATGTGTACAGGTCATCCAAATATTACATGTATCTTTTGTTACCTGAAGGTATCAGTGACCTTGGCTGTATTGGAGAATGCACAAACCTGCAGCATCTCAACGTGTCCATGAACGACATCTCACGCCTGGCACCGCTCAGCTCACTGAAACACCTGCTGACCCTGGACATATCAGCAAATAGGATCACTCAGCTGGGTCAGTTGCTTTTTTTTACATGAGCGTCATGATGTATTAAACTTTGCATGCTCCCTTTTTTTCTTCTTTTATGCATATACATGTACTTTGATATTTCAATAGCCATCTTATTTCAAACACTAACAGAAGAAGTTGATTGAGATGTATTGTCTTCTTCAGGTTATCACCATTTAATGAATGACTTTGTGTTTGAATCTTGATTACAGATGCTTTGAAAGATGCTGACAGTCTTCAAACCCTTAATGCAGCTGGAAACCTTATCAGCAGGTAATCTGTGCTGGTCACAAACTTCTAGGTCTTTATAAAGCATCTTTTATGTTGTATGAAGGCTTTATCAACATATACTATTTATCACATCTCCAGTATTGACAAGCTTGCCTGCCTGGCTAAACTGGAACATTTCTCCAACCTGAGACTTCAAGATAAAGTACATGAACTCTTTAACCCAGGTGAGAAGCTGTTTAATATTCTACTATATTTCTTCACCTTCCATGTTTTGTTACATACAAGGCCCAAGTGTTGATTGATTCTAACAACATCACTTTTGGCTTCCCTGCAGTGTGCCATGGTGCCTCCTACAAAAAGCGGGTTTTATCCATGATGCCCAGGCTGAAAGTTTTGGATGGTAAGTCTGGACAGGAACCCTGCCTGATATATACCAATACAAATGCATGCCAGAAGTCAGAATTGTAGTCTAATTTAATTTTTTTTCCCGTTATCAATCCCTATTGTGATACAAAACCTAATTCTAACCACTTGCACACTTTGCAGCTGCACTAAGTGCTATGCAAGGCTTCCACAAAGTTCAATGTACCTTGAATCTTACAAAGGTACATAGCAATGAAACATGTTTATGTCAGTGTATATTGAGATAATGATGATTTATTTTTCATTCCTTGCCTGTATATACTTCCAGGTGAGGTGCTGTCAGGTAAAGGGTCGGAGGTGTTCCGGATTTGCTCGGAGATTGATGCTACCCTGCAAGGTAGGACAACAAAAGTGAAGGATACTGATATTTCTTTCCAGGGGGAGCCCTATGCAGTTTTGCCATTCAGTCTATTTGATTGCTTTGCCAGGTCTATTGACTTCTCTTGCATCTAGAGCAGATGTAGAAACATGATGCTTTTGTCACTCATGTCTTCAGCTGTTTAGCTGTAGCTCCTCACTGTAGCAATGTTAGCCCTCAAGAAAAGTTACTTCATGAAGTGTAGCAAGCACAACTGTAACACTGTTATACTCCTCATCTGTCTTTCCAGCTACAGAGAGTGGAACTTGCAGCACCTCTGGTCTTCCTCTGGTAGATAACTTTCCACTGTCTTCAGAAGATTGTAGTCACCTCACAGAATATATGGGATAGTTTTTTTCACATACCTATAAGCATGATAATGCATGTGTTTGAAAATTGTGATGGGTCTGTTTTTTTTTCTTTCACAAACCCTTTTTCACCCCCTCCCTTCAACTTGGCAGCTGCACACGACTCTGGACTCTATGCCATAAATACGAGTAAGCCCCCTAGTGGTGCTAGTGGTGAGTGCAGTGTGCAGTTTGGTGTGCAGTTTGCAGTGATCATCCACTAATGATTGTAAATCCCCCCACCTTACCATAGGACTGACTAAACACATACTGCTAATGACTTTGCTGATGTAGAATTTGGTTATGAAGCCTGTGCACCTTGTTGTATCCCTGCTAGCACTACAGCAGTGGCAAACCAATATTTGTGTGAAGAAACACTTAGTCTGAAAACAAGTATGCAAGAGATTAGATTAGATTAGGTAACAGTCATCTAAGGCAAATCGATCTAACCAGAAGGTAAGTATTGATACCTGTCATATACAATTGCTTTGTAGCTATTTTAAATCCATTTAACCTGTAATGGTTTGATACCTTAACCTTTTTGTAGTCCACATTTACTAATTTGACGACTAAATCAAAGAGAACATTTTGCTTAACCTTGTAGTTGTTAAATTGTCATCAGCCTGCCTCCTTGGGAAGTAGAACAAAATCTGTGACTGACAACCACCTGTTCCTGCAGTACCCAATACAAGAGTATAGGGGGAGCTAATGTATGGTACAGAGACAATAAATCTTTAATTATCAAAAGCTAAAGCAAAAGATATCTGAAGATCAATGGTCAAAGGTCATTATTCTAATTTATAAGGTGACAATACATTTTGAAATATATTTTGGAACAAGTTTCACAATATTGATTTCTCTTTTGTACAGTCACCCATCAATCTATGTTTTCATTGTCAGGAATAACAAAACCACCACATACAAATATAGCCTGCCATAAAATGTGCAACATGTCCTAATAGCCTATTTAATTGTGTGAATTATGAATGCAGTTCAGACATGTACTCTGAATTAACAGGCATACCTACCAGTGGTCCAATCCCAGAAATGAGCAAACCCCAGCCCTGGTTTGCCGGTGACTCCTTGAAATTGAAGGACACTAAAGCTCAAGATGCTGCCATCGATGATGTTACCAAGAAGTTCAAGGGTAAGGAATCAATGTACTTGGTCTATGACCCCTTTATTTAACCCTAATTGTTGCATCTATCAATCAATGAATCAGTCAATCATCCGTGGGCATCAGCTCTCTATCCTGTATGTATACCAAATATGATACATATAGAATACAACACGGGTATTCCGTATCGCCTGAGTACCAGCCCGACCGCGCGTCGGATCGCCCGATGGCCGGAACACCCGTATCAAACGTAATCGCGGCCCAGGTATGACATAAAGACTACATACTATGTACATTTGTAGATGACCCAACATGTACAACAGGAACCTTGAATGTCTTTATGTATATTTCATACATGGTATTTTGCCCTTGATATGTATGTCACAAGAAAATTTACATTCAAGGAACGTTTGAAAGCCTTCATTCAATATAGAAAAATGAATCCGCAGCACAAGTCATGTGACAACTGCTGTTTATCATATCACACAGATGTGTTGGTAGACTGCCAAAGGCTTCAGGAGGAGGGTCAGAGGGCACTGGACCAGGCCAAGTCTTCATCTACCCAGCAAGGCATTGATCATCTCAAGAATCTAGACCTCTCCATTTAGATGGGTCCTATCTGGGTTATGGGAGTTGCAGTATTTGTGCTCTAACTAAGAATTTTATTTTTACAAACAGGTCCCAATTAAGGCACAGTGTCAGATTGTGTTGTTGATATCCAATGTGGCGGTTGCTCATTAGCCTTCTTGTCATTTCTGAAGCAATTTATAGAGGATTTGAATCAGTCACTTTTAGCAATCATTCTTGTCAGAGATCTTTAAGATTTGTGTGGAATCTCTTGGTATTCCTGAGACTAGCCTGATTTAATCAAGCTCCTAGCGGTTCAGACAGACTGACTGGTCCCTTATGGACCAATTAGTCTCTGGCAGGAAGGGATTGTGTGACACAGACTGTCATCAGATCATCTCTACAAAGGTTTGTTTTCTTACAATTGTCCTAAAATGTAAGTGCCTTCATTGCATCTCAGAACCAGTGTGTGTGTGCTTAATATCATCAACTGATCTGTGCCAACTTGCTATTGAGGTAGAAGTGTTTTGACCATGACATATACATGTATGTCAATGGTTTTAAGTTAAGGAAATCACCTGAGTGTGCTTTTTCTGCATCATTCACAAAAACGTTGGAATTCGATTTTTGTCTGTGACAAATTTCTAATTAAGTTTGTTTGGCGTTGACTTTGAATTCTATAGACGTTTATGGAATAGGAAAGTCTTTTTTAAATAGAATGTATGTATATTTCAGAGCCAGACATATTAATAAAAATAATGGAATTATTTTAGTCTTTTTAAGTCACTATGTCATTTACAGAGACTAACTTGATACAAGGAAATGGAATGGATTTTATTGTTGTGCACAATATCATACATGTGTGTATATTATCACAAAAATTGTTTTCTGGGCATAAAAACAGATGCAGACAAAATAAATTGATAGACAAAAAGACTGTCATATGAAACTTTTATTGGTACATAAAATACAACACTACAAATTGGGGCTTCCTGTAAACATGGAGAAATATAGAAATCTCTCAACATTCTTTCCATTTTCCAAAGCACTTTTTTTGTAAAAGCCAGTGGCCTAAATACCTATCAAATCTGTTCCAGCTAGCAGAATTTTTGTTTGGTGACAAGTCCCCAAACTTGTTCCCAAAACACTTTCCATGTTTACATGACAAAACTAGAAATAAGACAAATACATAGTAACTTACAAACTTCATATCATCACAATGTGTTATAAAGATGTTACATAGCTGCCAACATCAAGGTTTGTACATCTTAAAAGCAAACATTTATCCCAGGGCAAACTTGCATTTTTCCCAACAATAGATCAAGCAAGGACATTGTATAATGTCCTTGGATCAAGTAAATGCCTAACATTCTAGGCCAGCCCCCACTAATTTTGGGTGGGTCCATCTTCAAATATTTTGTTTAAAAAAGATAATGATAAACTTTTTGCACATGTGGCACAGGCTAAAATTGCCTTGACTTACGCCAAAGAAAGTAGGAGGCCACAACCTACCAAGGTCAGAAATCATTGTTGGCAGCGACGTACAACAGTGCTTTAAGTCTCTATGTTATAGTGCAAATCTGACACGTTGCTCTACACACCCACTATCAGATCAGCACTTGTATACAAAAACATCTAACCAACAAGTTGTGTCCCCTATATCCCAATCTAGGATTGTGTTCTACCCATGGCACAAACAGTTTGGCTGGTATTGCTGTACCTATCTCACCTGACAACCATCATTTTATCCAACATTTATCATGCACACAACAGACCACAGTTTGAGAAAACATCTGGGGTGACACGGACATTTGTACCTCACTGACATCAATTGGACAACTTTGTTTCATTTCTGCTAGCAGAAAGGCTGTTAATTTCAATCTACTGATGTTCTCTCGTGCTGCTTGAAATAATTTTGTTAAATATGTAGAATATGGAACTGGAGTTAGATTTGTTGACCAAAGACAATCTTTTAAAATTACCATTATTGTTTTGAAAACTTGGCAATCAGGTGAGAACAAGTCATTTTGATGTTGGTTTTGCCCCGACTCATAGTTTAGATCCATTAGGCATGCTATTCCATAGAATATTCCATCAGTAGCCAGGTAGGATGATAAAATAGTATAGACTAGAATGATGTATGTATCTATGGTACTGTTGACATGGCAAAACAGTCATGATCCTGATGGCTGCAGGTGGTGATGTTAAAGTATGCAGCATGTAAATCTGTTTCCTTGAGGAGTTAGACACTGAGCAGAGATGCTGGCTCTACTATAAGGCATGCACATGTAGCACCAAGTAACATCATACATATAAGCACCTATAACATAACCTCAGGGTACATTACCAGTGATACACCACTTACACTTGGACAAGTAAGGCCCACACATAATGGCAAGCTTAAGCTACTTTGTGCAAACATGTATCTGACTTACAGGTCATGTCAGCATGAGATCATCATCACATCAACATTACTAATGTTTACAATGGAACTGTCACATACATGTAGGGTACAATTGTGTATAGTTCAGGCTATGCAGTTACCTGCATTTCAGTCTGTAAATCAGGTCTTTTCAATAGAACCGAACTTTAACATGAAGTAGACTTGCTGAGCTATCTGAGGTACATCATGAGGGATGACATTATAAAAAATTGTACTTTTTTTAATGTCCAGTCTACACATTCCAGTTCTGGAAGCTTGGCTTGGCTAGAGGAATATTTTGGTCTAGCTAGGTGTTTTTCTTATGTATGCATTTTGATAATACATTTAGGCATACCTAACTCAGGTGAAATGTCACTTGGATGTGTATAACTGAAGTTACATCAGAGGCTTAGCTCATCTGCTTCAATAACCTTGCTCAAGCAACGTTAACACAAAGAATTGATGCCAGGTTATTCAGAGTCTAGTGCCATCTCTAACCACCAATACTTACCAAGCTAAGATGTGAGCTAAATACAAACTCTTGACTATACACAGTATCAATACTCCAGTACTACACAACTAACACTGACCAAGCCTATACATCAGATGAAAATTGACATCATAACAACCTGTTTGTACAGAGTGGAGCGATTCCTGTAGGTATGACTTGGTTTCAATCAGTCTGAGTAAAGTTTACGCTACATACTGACTTGAACTTAATTTTGTTGAGTGACATATCTAAGAAAAAATGGTTGCAATGTTCAGAGAACTGCATGTTTTTGTAGATTGAGAGTAAAAACTCATATAAAGTATGGCCTTTGTGGATAAGCAGCAGATGGAAACAAAAACACCCCCACACAACTCAGATGTAGTATCATTATGAAGGTATTTACTATATTTCTCTCTAAGAAAAGAGTAATGTTAGCAGTTGTAGACCAATTCTTTTGCTGCAACAGCTGTGTTTTCCTTGTATCAAAAGCCCTGATCCAGTTTCTGTTATTAATCTTACTTAGTACAACCACTGCTTCACTTTCTGTGTTGTTTTTTTTAATCAAATTTTACCCCCGTGGGTAAAGTGACGTGCCATTTTCAGGAAGTGTAGTCAGATTGCAGAATTTTTGGTCCCCAATAAAGATTATTGTTTGAATGTCTACAGTTGTACACAAGTTTCTCGCCTCCTAAACAATGGCACATCCACAAGTTTGATAAAGGGTTAGGTTTGATTTAGTGAGGAATGTTTTACTATGTTGAATACCCATCAATGTCAAATCCCGTTCACACAATGTTAAAAGACAGGTGGATTACAGGTATTCCAGTTTCTCTGCTGCCATTACACCCACATAGGTTCACAAGTAGCCTTTGAAGAAAGGTTAAAGCAACTTATAAAGATATGAAAACATACATATACACTGTATGATGAAGATTATAGAACGAACAAAAGGTCATGCTATCAAACATCTATCGTAAATGAATTCTTGATGCCATTTCTTAATGACAGCTTAATGTAGGTGCAATCTCTTCATAGAAAGAATAATAAAAGATTTTGCAGTAAGTGGATAGCTCAAGCATATCTACAACCACAATTGTCACACCTTTATGGATTTAGTGCACTGAAATGTCTAAAAAAAGTGTTAAGTGTAATCTGAACAATGACATCACTTACACGCTGTTTCAGGAGAGAAGAAATGCAGATAATCTGTGAACCAACAGGTGTTCAAAGCCCTAAATACACAGATAAGTTCAATTTAAGGTTATAAATCTGAGACTGAAAAAAAGGGATGGCTGGTACGGGAGACCACAGCCTGAACTACTGCCCCTCCTCAGCAGAGTCGTCTGTCTTTTCAGCAGGCGCATCAGCGTCCACTTTGTTATCTGACTCAGTCACGACGGCAGGAGTCTCCTTCTTGGGCCGGCCTCGTTTCTTGGGAGTCTCCACCACCTCAGTCTGGAGAAAGACACATTCAAGTTATTAAAAAAACTGGTAGATATTTGTTAGCCAAAGACGTTCATTTGATTTATTTTCCAAAAGCTACCTAGCCAATAGTTTTCAACAGGTGCAAAAGAATCAAATGAAAAGCTTCAGTGAATACTTCTGAGTATCCTGTTGCAAATGACACTGTTGACCTCTAACCTTCTCTTCGACCTCTTCAGCGTCCCCCTCCTCGGTGAAGTCTTCCTCGTCCTTCTCAGCTGCCTTGGCAGGTTGAGCCTTGCCTTTCTTCTTGGAGCCCTTTGTATAGTGAGAGGAAGTTAAAGGTCTCAGAGCTCAGTCATTTTATAATTCTTGACAAAGGAAGTGGCTTCTAGGATTTTTGTACAAGAAATTTTCATCAGTTTGTAAACAAAATAGGTATAAGGTACATTTGTTAAAGTATACAATGTGAAGTAACATATTAACCCTTCCATATTGGAACAGTGACACCAAAATTTATTTGCATTGTTTGGTGATAAACATGTGTATGACATTCTAGTATTACTAGAACTTTTGCAATGTATACAGTACACACCCTTCCTTCTGTCAACTTACCTTGGGCCTTCCCTTCGGCCTGGCTGCCTCTGAATTGTTACTCTTGGGCGGACGGCCTCGCTTGCCCTGACCGCTGTTCACCTTCTTCACGGGAGGCTCGTCATCCCCCTCCGACTTTCGTGGACGTCCACGGCCTCGCTTGCCACTGGGGTTGGGCGGGGGCGGGGCGTAGTGCTCAGGTGCCACCACTGGCCGCCGGCGTAGCGCAGACCTTCCCTCAGCAGGCTAGGTTCAAAATAGAACGTTAGCTAGCGTAGTGGCCAAATATTGGACATAGAAAAACACAGGACATTGTAGAATCTTACACCAAATCTTACAAACCAACTCTTACCACACCAGATTCACTCGCTCAGAATTTTGATACTGCTATTGTAACCAAGTATCCACTACTTGTAACTATCTACTGTATAGTAGCTAGTATATCATAATTTGATTTTTAGGAAATATCCATTGTTTCAAACAATGGCACTTGTTTTACGATAACAAAGTACTTCTGACAAGGCAACAACAGCATACACAAGAGGCAATACTTATTATGTTAGGCTTATGTAATACTTATTATATTATGTTAATGTTAGGCTACAGCAAGTACATTTTGTGGATGACATTCACGCACACATTGATATTTCACCTGATTAAAAAACAAGACATTTCGTTCCCTTCACCTTGACGTGTACTCACAGTGAACCTTTGAACAGTTGAGACTTTTGTGCATAAACACACAAACATGTTGTACAAGTGATGCGCTAGTGAGGCAGCTATGTGCTTAGTGAAATCAAGTAAACGTGATACGTGTAAAGTGGCCTTGAGAGTAGTTGTAGTGGTACTAGACTGCCACACTTGTGTCACTTTCTGCACTTCTTGATATTAAATTAAATTCTTGTTATTATATTAAGTTTAATCTTAAAATTTTGGTATCTTGTGTGTTTTTGTTCTTTTGGCCCATAGGATTTGGAGTCTAGAGAGGGTGTCATCCATAAAATTTATTTGCTGTGGCCTATAACGTTATATATTAATGGTGAGTATAATGATGTTTATACATGTATGACTGGTTCAAGCCAGAGCAATCCAACAAAACAGCAGCAATGTGCCCTGCTATGACGTACTACTTCTCTTGACCAATCAGACACAAGGAGCAACTAGGGGGTGTTCTCTTTATCTGTAGCAATACATCAATGGTCCCAATCGGTTGTAGAGTTCATCTTAATAAACAGAAATGTTTTGATGAGTACTACAGAGAGGAAAATTTACGACATCACCAAACGCGAGTTTGAATTAATTCCCAGACACAAAGGGTTAGAATTGGGTCAGGTAGTCTCAGGTAGCGTTGACATTTTTTTGTGTAAACTTTGAAATGCTATGAAAGGATTCAAGAACACTTGCAACCGGGGAATACAATGCAATTGTTACCTGTGCGTCCTTCTTAGGCCGCCCTCTGCCCTTTTTGGTGGCGAGCTCCCCTCCTGGTCCCTCGGCTGCGGCGGACGGAGCCGTCGCCGCTGCTCCCGAGCCGGGCTCTGAGTCGGCCATAGTTACACTCTGAAGTAGTGGAACTGTGACTGTTGTTGTAGTACACACAAAGCTGAAGAGTGCACCTCGCTGCACAAAAATCACGATCCTGCGGCAATTTTCCCAGGGAAAAATTCAAAAATTATGTCAAAAAGCGTCAAAAATCTTCCACCAATTTTTCAGGGTGAAGGAAGAGCCGAACACGCCAGTAGAGAGGAGAAATCGCGGCGAAAACGGCAATTTTTGCTGGAAAATCAGACGGCGGCCATAGTTGACAGCGTTGATAAATACTGCAGCTCCCTGCACAGGAGCCTGACGGTTGGCGGCATAATCAGCGTGAGGCGCGAAAAGTTTAAACAGACGCGCAATGCTTCACCATTGTCGGTACGTGTCGGGGGAACAAATCGTGTTTTCTTTCGTGAAATACTCCACCAGTGTTATAGTACACAAAAAGAGTAACGAGCTGACTTACCAAAGATGCATAATATTCATCGCTTTTGTTACACGTGTCACGTTTAGGTACCGTAGATCACCGATATTATATATGACCCGCGTTTTCCTCGGACCGTTAATTACAAGTTAGCAAAACGTTCTTACTTTAATGAAATTGACAGTGGAAAAATTGCGGATGTCCTTTACCTGACCTTTGTTGTACACGACTATGTGAGGTCGGATCGGCGTTCGCGTGTGTTCTTTTATCTGTTAATCTCCAAGCAGATGTAAGGATCCGGCTCCTTCTCGGTATCATACGCCTATATTTGCAACCTTTAGTTGTCTTTTCTAGTGTTGCGCTTTATTAATGTTAAAGAAGGTACAATACTAGAACAGAGTACAAGTTGATGCAAAAATAAGGCGTTAATTAATGAGAATGAGCTGGATCCTTAATTATATCTGTGAAGACGGGTATGTACCTTCATTTCTTGGGTGCATCGCCGGTATTACATATTGAACTAATGCCTAGAATATACCTAGTGTTGTTGCAAAGGGTAATGATTTTAAAGCGTTGTACAAACGTCCTGTTTGGCTATGAGAGAAAAGGGTTTATATTTTATCACGGACATTTTTACCGAGCCCGGCATAGGTTTACTAGTCTAGTCTCGCTTTAAGCATTGACTACCATTTTTGCAGCCCTGTTTTTCAATGTTTTTCTGACAGCCGATATTTCTGATTAGCCGTGCCAGGTAGCCAGGGGGTAACTGAATCCTGCACCGTATCCCCCCCCCCCCCCCAAAAAAAAAACCCACACCCGCCGGAGTGCGCTGATTGACCATGTCGACGCAGATGTACGGATCCGGTCCATTCTTAGTACGCGTGTTTTTGTAAGCCTTGAGTGGCGAATGTTCTTGCAACATTTTGTTCGCCAATACGAATGGCGTGTTTTAACACGCATTTACAAATGCAAGAGCAAATACCAGAAGGCATGCTCAATGTCGCAAACACACGCGGAAACACCAAAAGTGATCTGAATCCTCACATCTAGTTGGAGAATAGACAATAATCGTAGCACTATAACGCAAAGGAAGCTCACAATCGGCTGTTACAGACCACATAATGTTGTATTTTGTGTCAGTCAAGTTGAGCGTTGAAGGCTGTAAAGATCTCAATCTAACATTAGTAATTACACGTACCTCCCGCCAATGATTGCATGATAGGACTGAATAATTATGCTGATACATTGTAAGACATCAACTATGTCCGTATATGCATAGGCTACAAAAAGTTTTGATATGTATGCGGTTACGCAATACTTATAAAACAAACAAACAAACCAGCTTTTTATATACAATTCGTGACCTACTTTCTTCAATACTAGCCTGTAGTAAACTGGCTTCACACTCCATGTTGATATATAGTATATACTGACATCTATATGTTGGGGTTGACAAACTTCCTAGTGCTGCTTAACTAGTTTGATCTTATCGATAGTTGTTAGCCATTGTTTATATGATATACCTGCACCGTGAAGACCAAGGCCACAGTGAACACATTAACATCATGAATAGCAATATGTAGATGACTAACAAAAATTGTAAAAGGTTACATGATTCAAGTTGTAATTTAAACAGTAGCACTCGTAGTATTACTTCTAATGCTAAGCGTTGTTTTATTCATTTTTCATCACTCATCGATGAGAGCGACATCATCATCTTCCTGTGCCTGAAAGGCTTGGTTCACGGCAGGAGCTCCGGGGTCAGTAGGCTGGTAACCGGGCGGCGGGGACGCGGCAATGGGCTGGGCGGAGCCGGCCTCACGCGGCGGCACGGCCGCCTGGCACTGTGCCTGGGGCTGCACAGCCACAGGGTACGGGGAGATCCCGGCCTGCGGGGCTATTGGCTGCTGGAACTGAACCTGTGGCACTGACTGTGCACGTGGCTGCTGCTGACTTGCGGCTTGTGGCATGGGTACGGGTATGGGGGTGGATGTAGAAAGAATGTACTGGATGTTACCTGTAAGAAATGCAGAAATGGGCGACGTTGAGAGAGGGTACGATCAAGACATTCATTCTTTTTATCCATCAAAACATCAAAAGATAACAACTTAAGTTTATAACAACTTAAGTTTATAACTTATTCTAACAGCGCCACACAAGACATTCATTGCCTTCCACGTTTCAGGATTTACAAAGAGTCAAAATTATATCATTTGCACAATAGCAGTGCAAAAGTCACTCTGCTTTTAAAACGTCGTCAGCAATGACGGAGTTGAAAATGTACAATGGACTATCGCCACTTTTATGATTTAATATCAGACAAATGACTTACCACCGTGTCCGACCGTTGGCAATGTTTGAATCGTCTGCGGTTGGGCAGGTGGCGCAGGGGCCAGTCCGGCTCCAACTCTCCCCTGGGCAGCAGCCATGCTGGCAGGGTTCTGTGTGACGACCAGAGGTTGTTGTTGGGCCATGGCTCCTACAGGAAGGACCGTGGCGTGTTGGGGCTGGCTTGGAGGGAACGGTGTCATGGCGATGGGCTGTCCGCCCTGTATGACGTACTGACTGGGTATCTGAACCAGTCTGCCGTCTGCTCCCACCTGATAGGCAACTGCTGGTGGCTGGTAACGGATCAAAGTGAGATGATATGAAGTCGTCGTTGCTTTGGTAGAAATTATTTTGGGAGGTGAAACGTATGACTCCTTAGATAGACTGTAACGTTAAAGAGACGCAAAAAAACAGACAGCAGCCTTTTTCATGACTGTTTTTAATTTTTTACTTCATTTTAATACGGGACGGAGTGAATGAGAGTAAGTGAATACCCTGTCTGACAGTCGGTTATCTGTCGCGTAATTGTCTTTCGAATTACTTGAAAAATGACGTCCGAGAACTATTTTGTCGTATCTCGTTGATGCTGTAGAATTTTTACTAGCAGGCTGTGACAGAACCGACCGCCGCCAAGGGCCTAAGGCAGCCTTTTCCTTTTAACAAGACAGATGAATCTTGCAGAACATGCGCACGACTAAGAATGAAATTTCACGACATATGTCACCGGGACCCAAGTGTTATATTAGTATGTGTTACCGACTTGATATTGAAACATGCTGTTTACCTGGTAACTATTGCCGCTGCAGTTGTCACAGCAGCTGTCTGTACTGTCGCCTTTACAACAGGGGCAGACGGCACAACACGTCATCACGGAGGAGGCGATGGACAGACCAGCCTCTAACAGGGCCAGGATGATCAGCAACGAGTCCATCGCTACTCGTGCCTGGGAAGTACAACGTTTTACAGTCGAAACGCCAAAGAGAACTCGGGATTTCGATGACGTTTTGACACGAATGAACTAAGTTTTAAAGGCAGTGCTGCATGAAATTAGAATATTGAAAGACTAAGCTGTAAGTAAAAGCAGTCCTTTAAGTAAAATTTGTTCTTATATTATAAGAGCTTTGTAAAGCCCCTGTCACACATGGCCGAACATGGTTTCCCAATCTCCCCCACTGACCTCTCCAGACCTTGGTTGGGAGCTTATCACGGTGAGCAAATGCAGTGTGGTTGGGAGTTGGTCGGCGAGTTTGCATAAAAGTCTTTGGTCGTCTGCGCCAGACGTCTATGAATTCCAGTCGGAAGTATCCTATTCAGGGGAAATCATATTCGGCTCAGATGTGACCAGAGGAGCGAACTGGAGCTAGAAGACCCAAAAATAGGATGGTTTCCAGGCTGCTCCCAACCCACCGCCGACTCATTTGGAGGAGTGGTCGGGAGCAAAGCGGTGGGAAGGTCCTGAATGTGTGACAAGGGTTTATGTGGGATGGAATTTCTTGCACGAAATGTTGTTTTTATTGCACATTGTAATGGTGACTACTTGGACTACTATGAGTGTAGACCTATTGCTAAAAGGTTTTACCGTCTTGTTAGGGCAACCCCAGGCCCAGTCCCAGCACGCGTAGCTATCAAAGCTGAGGTCACCGGCCGCAATCCAGAGCACGACAACAGTGAAGACGGCAGACACGATGGACAGGATCATAAAGGTTATGATCTGTAAGATATAGATAAAAAATCGAAGCCAAGTTAATAAGGCCTCGGTGAATTACGATATGTTCCTTCGTTAAAAATGTGTTCAGCTATTTATGTATTTGACGGATAAAAGAAAGATGTCCTTACAGAAATCTCAAAGAAACAGATAATAACCTTTCTTCCTACTCTCCTGCATGCATAAAAGCTGTTTCCCATGGTGTTGCTGAACAGTCTACACTACACTCGAGAAATACAGTATTTCACTCACCATGCAGTTAGTCTTGCGGACCGCTGCGAATATGCCGACGATTCCGGTAGAAAGGAACTTGGCGTGGAAACAAAAGAACGTGATGATACACCGTACATTGAATACACGGATAAACTCTGACCCTTTGAGTCGGGCAACACAGCTAAACTCTAACCTACCCAATGGCCTATGTATACCTTGTATAAGTTGTCACACAATTGGAGTGTTGGTCACCACAATACCACTTTATGAAAAATGTATCTGTTATCACTGCAATAACCAGTTTGGTAGAGACCATGCTACAGACGGCAACTTGATTGTACTGTCTTTTACCAAATATAGATCGATGAAGTGGACAAAAATTGCAACCTGGCCATTACGATATATAAACACGTGTTTACACTTCCCAAGCTAACTTCCGAAATACTAGTATTTTGAAGCATCATTGCATGTATAATG